ATCAACTAATAGAGTTATTTTTTTAAAAGGTAGGACAGAAAGTGACTTCTATACTTTTAAAATTTGCCCAAAATTTATGAGGTCTTTAGACTGAGCGGAATGTTTGACAAAAATAGAGAGAAAAACAAAAATTAGCTGATTTCTCAAAAACTCTTTTTTCCTGAAGCACCTTTTTGCTAGGATGAAACCATTTAGAGGTAGATGCAAACATGTCATTTTTATCATTTTAAATATTTATTTATTAATAATACTTGTTTTTTTATTAGATATGCAATTGATTTAATTATTTGGAAACCATGTATTGTTTATTTATATGTATATTAACATAATATGTAGATGTACACATTGCTAATATTTAATTGCCTCTGATTGATAAAATCAAATTTTATTTTGGTCAACAAACTCAATTAAATTTGTTGATCATTATTGACCAATCACAAAGAAATTCCGTTATGCTCATATAAATTAACACTTCCTATAACTGATTCACGTGACCTGAAATAAAATGCAGATCTCTCCAAATCTAAATTATAATTAATATTATTAATAATAACAAGAAATCTGCTGTGGTGAGGCCTGTTGTGACAAGATTTGACTGTAAATTCCATGTAGGAACCTCCTAATGTTGGAGAGAATTTGAAAGAGAATTGACTTTAACACAGCTTGCTTGAGAGAATATGCAAAATGATAATATACATGACCCAAATAAATGCCATACAAGATATTAATAGTAAATTGAGGTCCAGCTTGGATCCCAATTGCTTCATTTTATATCATGATAACATCAATGATGCATTTTGGCATTTAACATTAGTAATTAACATTAGTAATTAATATTAGTCATTCATTTAATTATTCTATTTATTATATTTTATTGGACAAAATCATGTAAAAAGTCATATTGTTTGTAATGCTTCAAGAAGTATAAACACTTAAAAATTTCCTTCATTTTTTAATAATATACATTTGATTAATTAATAAAGCTGGTGGGGTTGATTCATAATCCTTTCTGATGATTAATGGTTTGGCCAACCTTTAACTATTAGTTGGGAACCCTTTTTGATTTTACTATATTGCTTGTAGTGATGCCTCAAGTAGTATATTTCTATTTTTTTTTTAGAGCATATGAAGCTGGAAAGAAAAATGATACACTTGGCCAGAACTTACCTGCAATAATAGTACATGTGCAGCTGGAAAGAAACCCTTGCACTTGACCAGAACTAGGGTTTCTATTTGAATAAAACGAATAATTTGAATAAAACAAATGACTCAAATAAAATAAAACAAATGATTCGAAATAAAACAAATGATTCGAAATAAAAACGAATGGTTCAAAATAAAATGAATGATTCGAAATAAAAATGAATGATTCAAGATAAAATGAATGACTCGAAATAAAATGAAATCAAAATAAAAACGAATACCGTAATTCGAATAAAATAAAAACGGGATAATTCAAAATAAAAAAGAATAATTCAAAATAAGATAATTGTATATTATGAATAATTCGAATAAGAATTTGCATTACGAATTTACAAATAAAAACTCTAGCAGAAATGAAGGTGAACTTTGAATTTTGTTTATGCACCCATTGATCATTACTAATTATTTTATTGAAATAACAAAAAAATTGAACAAGATATTCAGAAAATAGATTTTTTCCATTTAAACTTTAAATTGTGAAATTGAAAAACTTTTAACTATTTACTAAATGTATAAAATATTCAATATATTATTCTAAATCACTTAGATAATTAGAAGCTAATTGTGCTGGGTCATAATCTTCTATTTCTTCAGTTGCTTCACTGTTTGTATTCTCCTCTTGATTTGCTGTAACATAATCATTATTGTTTATAACAACAAATACTTCATTTAGTGAGAGAATTCTTTCCAACTCTAATTCAATGTCATCACTAGGTTCAGAATCATCATTATTTTCGGGAAGTAATTCTAGAATCGAATCATTATTTTCATCATCATCTTCTTCTAGTGTATTATATGCAGCATTTATCCAACTCCTAACATCATTTTCACTTTTATCCTGAGCCACAAATCCAAGCTCTTTCTTTGCATCAGTAATATAATATCTGTGAATTTTAGCCATTGCTTCTAATTTTTCTAGTGATAAATTTTGATGGCGCTTGCCATAAAACCAACCCAATGAAGAAAATATACGCTCACAGCAAGCAGAGCTAGGTGTGACTGCAAAAATTTTTAAGGCAAGTTTCTTGAGGTTATCTGTTTGATCATTGCATGTCATCCACCAGGAATAAGGAGTATCATAGTTGTTTGAGAAAGGTGCATCATATGGTTCTGAATGAAGTTGATACTTACGTAATTGAGCATACAGATCTTTACATGAATCTTGATTATGTCCTAAATCTTTCCAAATACTTCCAGCATGCATTAAAATTTTCGGAAAATATTGTTTATTAATGCCAATGCCTATTTTTAATTAATATTAATATTTAATATAATCATTTAAGATTGTAAAAATTATAAAAATTATAAATTAATTATTAAATAACCTTTATATTTAGGATGTAGGTAGTATGCTAACAAATATGTATCATTCATGAATTCTGAAAATCTAATATTAATATAATAATAAAATATTATAGCATTTAAATATGATTATATTTTAATTATTAGTTCAAAATAGTATTTACCTTTCATTGAACACTTTTATGCAATGATTTCGAAATCCTTTATAATCATCAGATGGTAATTGTTTGAATGCAGCAGCAATTTTGATGAGACTAATATAACAATCAGCAAGTGAAACACATGAGCTTTCTAATTCTTGAATGGCTGCTCGGATTGGTTTTAATGTTTCAGCTAAAGCATTTATATCTTCAAAAAAACCTCTTTGTCAAAGAATATTTTTTACAGTATCATTTGAAATAATATCAAGATTGGAATGGATTACAGTCATACCTCTTTTATATCCCCCAACCAGAAAATGATTCATACATAATCATACCAAAGGCATCCCTTTTGTTTTGGAAATTTTATGGGATATAACTAAAGTGGGATATAACTCAAGCAGTCAACCATTTCACGTGACAT